AGGAGTCCACTGAGGGGTAAAGATCTTGTCAACTGCTCCACGGCCAGGTCGATTTTCAAACAGCCACTCCTAACCACCAGATTCAACCTTGACAGATGAAGGTCATGCAAACTCTTTCCTTCCTTTTCTGTTTTCAGAATACAGGTCATCATGTTTTGTAGAGCTTTTACTCAAAAAGCTTCCAAAGTAAAAGCAAACAGCAGTTCTAAGCTAAAGAGAGAGACAGCAGCAGCTGCATCGCATGCTTTATTACTTTAACTCCATGGCTGTTGGACCTGTAGTTTGCCATGTTAGCTCCACTGCTCCTTTAAATGACTGCTGCTAATGGCGTCTGAGTTGTTTCTGTTTAATGCATGACATTTGAAAAGATTCTGGTAAAAACTGGAGGCCAAATCTATGAGGGATCCGGCTGTTCTTATTATTCTCACCCTGAAGATGATAGAGCGAAATTTAATGTTTTTGTTAGTTTAAACTCCTGGTTTCTGTCCAGCTAAGTCAGACCAGATAAGTAATAATGCACTACTGACTGGGTGGTCAGGTTGAACACTGATGACTAGATTTAGTTCATGTGTATTTTATCATTAAATGTCTTTATGTTAGGGTTTCTTTGACTCACAAAATATTCAAAGGAAATATTCTTGGTTGAGTTCAATTCAGTTTAGCGCCAATTCAGTACACACTTTACAATTCAACAAGATCATACAGTCAGATTTGTTCCATGTTTTCTATCTAAGGAAAGCCAGCTGATTGCATCGACTCATTGACTCGAAAGCAATCCCATCACACTAAGCATGACTGTAGCGACAGTGGAGAGAAAAACCTCTAGCATTACCAGGCTCAGTGTGAGCAGCCAACTGCTGAGGCAGGAACTAGTTAACCTGCCGATTGAAAGCAAAGTGCTCTGTTAAGGACATAAGGAACTTATCCACTGTCTGAGATGTTGTCCAATTTGGAATTATTTTCGCCACTGTAGAACAATGGCCTTCAGATACTCAGCTTTGAGATGACCTAGAGTGGAAACAACAATTGCTTCTCTCACTAAAGGAAAACAACTGGTGTCCTATTTGCCTTCTCCAGACTGACCACGAAGATCCTTCTCCTCCTCAGCTATTTACATCTACATCAGCTCGTTGGAAAGAGGCCGATGAGTTACTAAAACACTAAATTTCTTTTTGGGACTAATACTTTATATGAATTGATTTCAGTTGAATTGAATTGACACACACCTGTAGCCCACATAGCTGCAAACTGTAGACATGAATCAGTGGCCAAGACCAATTCTGAGGAGATTTCTGTTCATTGTTTTTTTCTTTAATGTACCATGTTTCTATAAAAACAAGGAGAGGTGTGTTATGACATCACCTGGAGAGAAGGTGGTGGTCACTAATTAGAGGATCGGGGTTTATTACTGTCATTAACCCAGGAGTGTTTTCTCAATGACACAATCCTCCATCCTGAAATAAGTGTGGGCTGGTTTGAGGGTTGGAACTGAAGCTGTCTGGGTTCCTTTAGCCATTGCAGAGAGCCCTGATGCCAGGAGAAGCACAAGGAAGAAGGAGACCCATGTCCAACAGAAGCTGAAGTGATTCTTTAACTCTGCTGTTCGGTTTTAAACCTGCAAACACAGAAGCAATAAACATTTCCATAATGACCTAAGCTGCCAAATTATCAGATCCGTCATCCACATCAAACTCAAAACATTCATCACCAGCTGCGCTTCACGTACTAACTCCACTATGGTAAGGGCATCCTCCGATTACATTGAGAATATTATTTTTTCTTTTTGGCTCAAACAGCATGCAGCAGCTAATGTTCTGTTCTGTTTCCATGGATTTAAATGCAGAGAACCACAAGTCTCTAATAAATTCTGCTTGTCGTATAGGTCAGAGTTAAAATCTATTTAAACGACATTCATAACTGACCTCATCCTTTGTGTATGGATATTTTCTATCAAAAACTGTAGTTAATTACTTGAGTCTAAATAAAATATGTACTTAATATCATGAATCTGAATAAAAGTTGTGTTTAACAACAATAATATGAATAAAAATGTATTTAATAACAGAAATCTGAATCAGAACTGTATTTAAAAATATGAATAAAAACTCATTTCAATTTTGTTTATTTAAATAGCGTCAATGCAAACACGTTCTCACGGCACTTTATGGAGGCAGTTCAACCATATCACACAGTCAGATTGGTTCAAACCCTTTCTAAGGAAAACCAGTTGATTGCATTGACTCATTCACCGTTGATTAAATTAACGAAAATATGTTAGCTTTTATTCTCTTGGTGCCTGCAGTTTGTACCACGTGCTAACATCTACTTCTAGTCGCCACGAACAGTAGGGGGAAAACCCCCAAGAGGCGACCTGATGCAGCTGCTGCTGGGGATTCCCAGTGAAAGCTACACGTTGTCTATGTGTCAGAAGTCACGTGTTTTTTAACAATTTGACTTTCTATAAAGAGCATCCAAGATGCTCTTTGCTCTTGAGGCAAGTCTGATGTGTACAAGCATCAAAAATGAAGAAGCTTTTTTTTTTTCAGGAGCTTTTTTGCTGCTGAAATCGTGTACGGTGTGAATGTAGCTTATGATGCAAGACATGTAGTGCACTGTGTGGTGGCTGAGCAGCATCTTTGTCATTTAAGTAGACAAATAATGCCTCCTAGTTAAAGCCAGGAACTACAAACAGGTTCCCTATCACAGGGGTGGGCTGTGTTTTCAAAACCAACAAGAAGAATTTTCAACAATTGTATGACAATTAAATAATAAAGAAACCGTTAAAGCTACAGTGTGTAATTTTCAGCGACATCTAACGTCCAGACTGCAGACCGCAGCAACATGAACATCTCCCCCCCACCGCTTCTCCCCCCCAACAGTACGGCGAGCGTTACGGGACAAAATGTCTTCCACGACGTCCGCATCACCTACCTTCTCAAGTGATGAGGTAATTTTACAGATAGTATTTCATTAGTCTGTGCGTTCAGTACCGTCTCAGTTCATCTCTCTCAACTTGCCGTAGTTACTTTCGAGCGTAATGGGCGATCTCGCAATCGCTAGTTTGTTGGCTCTGCGCTGCCGTAGCGCAAAGATGTCTGCCTCCATGGCTGCCAGACCCGCTCCTATGTAATTATAAATAACGAATTCTAAGGCAACGCAAATATTAAGGTTAAGAGGCTGAGCTCGTAGATGATGATAAATAACATAGTTATGTATAATATATTACATTTCTGACTGTATATCCCTGTAATTATTACACACTGTAGCTTTAAAAAATGTACAGTCAACAAGGCGTATCCTTTACTTAAATTGTAGCATGCTAAATAAAGCTGAATGGTCCAGCACAAAAACAGAGTGTAGGGTCGTCTAGGCGGTCACAGTTTTTCTGGCCCAGATCGGTTCTCTTCTCCATGGTAGAGGGCACTTCCTTGGCTACACTTAGGGTTGTCAACCATATTTTGAAAAACAGAATTATTCTGTATTTAGAAATAGAAGTACCTGTCCCGTATTTAGTGGAAAAGGAAGGAAGTCTGTGATAATGAATATAAAGGACAATGCAAAAATGCATCTAATTCAATGCAGATTTGAGTGAAATAGTAAAAAAAAAAATCATTTCACACACAAAGGGGGGCTAAAAACAATCACCACGCCAGGAGGGGTAAAAGCAATCAGGTCAGCTGGCATGCACATGAGGTTTCCCTTTTTTTCAGGGAGTTGGCAACCCTAGCTACATCCCCCCTGGTTGCTCCCAATCAAATCTTGCTGGATTCAGTAAATAGTCACAAAAACATGCAACACAAAACTAAAAGCTGAAACCAAAACATGCATAAAAAAGAGCCACCTTCCCACACACTGCGTTAATCTCGCCTGAAGCTAACAGCAACCAGTAGCATAGCTGTTAAAGGCAACATATTATATATTTATATGACACTTGTTATGCTTTTAATTAACTTAATACAAAACAGAGAGCTGCATCGCTTCCCCTTATCCACCAAATGTTTGATTGATCTGGTCTTTCTAAAGGATATGGATATGTGGCAGGAAAAAAATACACAATAAGATACAGATTTAAAGTAAATTAAATACTTTATTACTCTTTCCACTTTATCATTTATACTGATTTGATTTAACGAAATTCACTTTCTAAATCTAAGGAATTTGATTTTGAGTTATGTCTGCACAGATTCACTCTGGGAAAATACAGTTTCTGGTGGCCCAAGCTCCTACTCAAAATCCTAACCCTTCAAGCATCTTGAAAACGCAGAAGATCAGCAGTAAGATTAAGGTTCCTTTCAGAATAAAGACTCAGGAGATTCCTGTCTCTGCTTTACTTCATTTGTCTTTGTGGAGTCTATTATGGATATTTAGTGTATTTGTAAAATCACTTTTATTGTTCCTCAATGGGGAATTCACTCTCTGCATCTAACCAGCCCCCCCGGGGAGCAGTGGGCTGCCACTGTGCGGCGCCCGGGGAGCAGTGTGGGGTTAGGGGTTTTGCTCAGGAACCAACAGTGGAGGCCGTGGGGATCCAACCGGGTACTTGCAAACTTTTCAAAGCACAAGTGGACAGCTCTAACCAGTAGACCAACTGTCCTCACGTGGTTGTAAATGTATTAAATGTTAACAAAATGAAATAATGTTAATTAAACTAGAATCTTCTGGAACTTTATGTCTAAAAGCTTTAAAGTCAGTAAATGAGTCCTGCTTTATAAAATGAAATCTGGAAACTCTGATCATGAAGTGTTTGACTGCAGATCTTCCTTTGGGGATATCTGATGCCTCCGTACAGTGAGGTCCCACATCCAGTCACTGTGTTTATTTTAAAAGCGGACTTCCAGGAGGAGGTGAGGTGTGACCGATCCCTGGAGATCTCTTTAACAGGTAATAGACCTGATGATGAAACATCTCACGCAGAGTGGAAAAGAAGCAGGGGAAGCCATGATGTCATGAAAGGGAAGGATCCGGATTGGACAGGAGATCCCATAGCAGCAGCTATAAAACCTGAAGCTGAAAGAAGTCACAGAAAGGCAGAGAAGAAGACGGACAGCAGAGATTTATCTCCAAAATCAAGGTACAAGCTGCATGAAACTGGGTGAAGCTGCAAAAAAAGCCAAATTTCTTCATATCCAAATGGTTTCAAACTAAATGCCCTAAATATAGAATGATGCAGATGTTCATTTTTTTTAAGGTTCTGCAGCATTTCAATATGAAACCATTTTTATTTTAGGTTTTTTGGGTGTTTTTTTAATGATCTAAAGCTTTTTTTCCCCATAAATTTAATCTGAAGAAATTTTTATGTCTTTATAAAATCCCAAACTGGAACCAGCTAAGAAAGACATAAAACTTTAAAATCCTAAGGGAGGAGCGATGATATGTAATCCTGCAAACTACACACTGCTGCTGGAGAAGGTGAAGGGAGGAAACTGGTGTAATAAATCTGTGAGCGGAGTGTGCACCAATGTTTGTGCATCATGAGAAGTGTGTGTTTGGTGGTGGGAACCGCTGTCTGCACGTTTGCAGGGAGCAGTGCGTGTTGGAGGGAATGCAGGAACGCGTAGGTGACGCTCAAAAGGCGTTTATTTGCAGGAATGGAAACTGCTAAAATTAGAAGATGTTGCTGGACAATAAGTTGGGGTCATCAGTTGAGCTAAAAGTGTCCCACTGTGTCTGTGGGAGTCTGTTGTGTTTAATTTATCTGTTTGATAGCGTGTAAGAGAGCTCAGCTCAGGTTTTTATAAGCTGAAAAGAAAGATATAGTCCGATTCATTTCCTCTATTTAGTGTTTTGTTATATTCAAATTTTTCCTGGTATCCATCATTAATAATGTGAAGCTGAAATCTACAACTGAGAAGAGAGATTTTTTAAATTGATTTATTTGAGTGGTTGTTTTGGTTTTAGTGTAATTTTACATTTTTGTTTTTTCGTGTGTTTTTTTCTGACCTCTTAAGTTTCTTTTGCGGCATTTTTATTTGATACTCTTCACTAACGATGAAGGTTTTTATATTTGTTATGTTAAATCTAATAATTTCTTCTAATTCTTTCGAACATTAATTATCTTATTTAGTAATAGATATATTCTCTTTTTTTATATGTATTTTTATTATTTCAATAGTTTTCCTCTATGGAGGGCCAACTTTAACATAATTAGAAGCAAATGAATTTATAAATACAGGAATGTATTTTTTAACTATACCATTAATGGTCCTCCATACTTGCTTTTTAGTTTAATTCTATTTTCTTCTCAGAGGCGCTTTTGTTTTGACATTTTTTGTTTTTGTTTGCTGAAATATGAATGTGCAACTTTGCATATATGGGCAGAAGTGAAACATATAGAAGGAAAAAAAAACAGATATATAAGTTATATATATTTTATCTAATATATTTGGATAAAAAAACTGGAAAAGATGCTCTACTCTGTCCAGTAGCGAGAATTTCTTTAAAAAAAAAAAAATCTTAGTATTAGTAAGATAAGAGTTTTGTAACAGCAATCAGATGATATTATGCTAAATATGCACAGATGGGCTGTTTAATTAGCAATAAATGTCAGCATAACTATTGAGCTGATTGTTGTAAAAAGCCTACCATCATTTATCAGTTTAATAATGGATATCTAAACAGACTGGAGTTTTCTGCTTTGATTTGTTGTTGTGTTCAGATGCAGTCCTGCAGCCGTCTTCAGCTGATCTTCTGCCTGCTGTCCATCACTGTGCTTCACTGCAGCGTCCATGGAGTCCACCAGCTCCCCGTTCAGGTCAGGACACATTATAACACATGCAAGGACATTTTCAGAGCTTTTTATCCCAAAGCTTTAAACTCACTTTATGAAACATTTTAAATTGTGGAGAATTAGGTCTTCAAGATATTTACTGGCGGTCTGTGATTTTAAACTTAAAATTATCTTTATCTTACTCTATTTCTAAAAAAGAAAGGGTTACATAGCAAATTTAAAAAAAAAAAATCTGAAGAATACACTGCAGAAATTAAAATATATGTACATTTTTCTTGGAATAAAATTATTTTAGCAAGTAAGACACTTTATCAACAAAATAAGACGATTTACCTTTAAGAGGGATTAAAATTCATTTCCAATACTTACATTTCAGGTGTATAACATCTATCGATGTTTATTCAAGGGCAAAGGTTCAAATTATTTTGCTGGATTATTATTTACATGGTCAAATTAGGAGCAAACACCTAATTTAAGAAAGTGTACCTACTTTTAGATCCATTTTTGCTGTCTATTTCAATTAAATGTTTTTATAAACACTTCCACACACTAACAGTGCAAAAACAAACAGTATTTTATTTTATTTTTATTTTTTTAACAGTGTCCTGTCTGGCAATGTGGCAATAAGAATAATTGTCTTGATGCCAAAAAGAGCCCAACAGATTTTACTTTCACAAGTGTAGCAGTATGGCAATTGCCATACTGCTACACTTGTTTCATGCATATAAATTGCTTTATTATAATTATGCAGGGAGTTTTACAGTTTATATGGACACTGCAATGTAAATAGAGCAGAAAAACAGAAGAAGAAAAGGAAAAAAGAAGAAAAGAGAAAAGATGAAAGAAAGAGGAGATAGAAAGGAGACAATGACAAAACATTTTCAGTCTGCTTCATCACCTGTAACGAGATGAAAAAAGAACAACACAACCGAAAGACATGGTACGAGATATACAATAAAGCAACACCTTGGAACTATCGCTTAAGTAATATTATTAAGTCTGACATGTACTCTGTGTTACCTGAAGATATGAATGTGGGGTTTCTGTATGGAAGTGAATCTCAATAATATCCAGTATTTTAAATGCTTTAAACCTGATGTCTCTAAATCTCAGAGAAACATAAACAAGGTGCATATAATTAACATGAACCTTATAATCAGACATTATTTTGGAAGTTTTTCAATGACCTTCATTTCATACACACTTTTATAAAAAAAAAAAATATTCATAATTAAATAATTATTATTTCCTTATATCTTTCAAATATAGAAACCTTTAAACATGGGGCGTTCCTGCAATGAGAATCACATTATAATGCAGAAATATAATAAAAAGGTTCAAATAATGAAAAAAAGCAGCACTGTCCTCATAGTCCAGGGTGCCCCCATGATGTAGGTTTATTATCCAAAGAAGTTTCCTGACAGAAAAGAGAAGTTAGAAATCCTGCTGTTTAGCAAAAAGACTTAATTGTGCTGCTTGTTTCCATGATGAGGGCTTTGTTTTATTAGACATGTTGGAAATATAGAAATGCACTACATAGAGGTCCTCACAAAATAACATAAGAATGTCTGTTTCCATGACTCTTCAAACAATGATATAAACTCAGATGGGTCCTTTAATGGGTCCCTGAACTCTTTAGGAAACATCTGTCACCCCCTCCTGTCTCCCATAGCATATTACTCACTTTAGTGTGTTTAAATCCAAATATAAACAAAGACTTGCTTAGTTGTTCTAATCTAACAATGTGTTTCTAAGGAGATTGCTGAGCGTGTTAAACAGGTATCTAGTATTTGTTCCCTTTGGACACCTGTTATGCTAGAATGAAGAACAGGAGTGATGGAATCAGCAGAACTGATCAGACAGAAAATCAGCAGATCGGTTCATCCTGAGGGCCAAAATAAGCGGCCCCTCCCTCGGTGCTGATATCAGATGGTGTGAAGCAGCAGGAAGGGGAGCAGTGATCTGTTTTCTCTTTAGTCTGGATGTTAGAAGATCTGCTGGAGCCTTTAGAGACCAACGGGCCGACAGGAAGCCTCGATGTGAGGGCCAATTCACACCATACTTAATGAAAACATATAACGAGGTGGGGCACAGTGGCCCTCAGCTGCAGAGCCTCTGCAGGAACACAGAGCAGCTGAAGGCTTCCTCCATCAGAAAAACACCACAGAGACATTGTCATGTTTTTGAGAACCGATGGTTAATGTGAAGTTAAAACGTATTTGATGGCAGCAAAGATGAAAAGCTATGAATTACAGTATGTAAACCATCCATTCATTATTCCAGCCATGCATCCCTTTATTCATCCAACCAATCAATCATCCATCCATGCATCCCTCCATCCAGGATATATAGCTCATCCAGCAACTTTGGATTCTGCATCAGGTTATTTCCCACTGAAACCCAACAATTGAGGTATCTCGGGATTGATCCTCTCTACCTCTGACTGACCATCACCACTCCTTACACCCTACAAATTTTTTATTTTCTTTATTTTTTTTATACACTTTTATTCGAGAGGTTATCATCTGCAAAGATGATCGTCCTGATGATCCAGAAAGTGTACAGGTCAAGGGTCAGAAAAAGAGAAGCGAACATCTGTAGATGTTAGCTGGATCTGGGTTTGAATCCGGCCTGTGGTCCTTTCCTGCATGTCTCTCCCTTTCTCATACCCCCTTTCCTGTCAGCCTACTTTCAGAAAAAAGAGCCACTAGTGCTGTAAGAAACTCAAAAAAAAGGCACGAAAGAAAATATGTCAGACAGCTGTTTGTGCATTTTTGAATTGTGCTCCTTTGCAAAAGTTCTCTGTGAGGAAACACCTTTGCTGTAGTTATGCCAAGAAACACCTGCCAACTGTTGAGAAAACGGATTGAAATACGAACGAAAAGGGAACTTTTAAATATATTCTTAATGTTTTCATATTTCTTATGCACGGATGTCTGGAAAAAAGAGAGTTTTGGTGGACAGATAAATGTTTTGTGCATTTACAGCAGCACGCTTGGAAATAACACCGGTTAACTTTTACCAATATAATAATAATTGAAGTTTATTGATCTCACATTGGAGAAATTTACCTCTGCATTTAACCCATCCCCTTGGGGAGCAGCAGGCTGCCATAGTGCGGCTCCCAGGGAGCAATCAGAGGTTAAGGGTCTTGCTCAGGAACTCAGAGTGGCAGTCTGTGGGAGTGGGTTTTGAACTCAGAACCTCTGGATTCCAAGCTCTATTCCCGAACCACTAGGCCACCACTCCCCAATATATGCGTGTTATACATCCTTAGAAAATGTACATCCTCCATAATTCAACTACGAAGTTCTTTTTATGAACACTATGAGCACCAAATTACAACTAATAAAGATATAGACGCATCTTAAATCAGATGTTCTAAAATAAAGCTTCAACTTCCTTCATTTTTATTAGTTGTTACAGCACTAGTGACTTGTTTTTCCTGACAGTAGACTGACAGGGAACGGGGAGAGACATGCAGGAAAGGACCACAGGCTGGATTTGAACCCGGATCAGCCACATCGAGGACTAAGGCCTTCATGCATGGGTCATTCGCAATAACCACTGCTCCATCTGCACACGCTGGTTTTCCACCTTTGACGCGATCATAAATCCAATCTCAAATTGGTTAGATTGCATTTGTCCGTAAGGGTCTATGGATAAAAAGTAATCCAGCATATTTGTAATAAAAACAATCTGTGATGCGAAAGTCGCCATATAAAATCCGTGTTTTACCATCAGAAAAGGTAAACGTCTTGCTAATTACGTTTGTCAGGATTCTTTTCTGCCATTGATGCTCCAGTTTACACAAAAGAGTGAGGAAATGGCTCAAAAAAAGCAGGAGCAGCAGCAAACAAGCGTAAGAGTACTTCTTCGTGTTACGGCGTAATGGTGGACCGCTAGCCAAACAGCGTATGATTTTCACTTGGAGCCTTCGTAAATAACATCATGGCAGCACATATGCAAAATGTTTGATTGCCAAACAAGCAGCCAATCCACTTTCGATAGTTGCTGATTGAAAGCGGATGGAACAGAGCTTAAATTCTTTGATTGTTTCCATGCTTAACGGCCAATAAAGCTGATTTCAATCTTTTCAAAAGTAGATATTATTCACATCCTGTAAGCTTTTTTCAAACAGCTAAAGAAATGTATTTCATAGGGTAGATCTTTGAGAGAAAAAACTTCCAGCCTTTTTTTGCAGATACACATTTGACTTTCTCTAGAATCCTCTAGAAATGTAAATTATTTCTCTCTTATATGTTTTCTGTAAGTAAATAAAAAAAAGGCTTATTAAGCTGATAAGAACTTTATTTCCTTCTGAAATGATGACCAGCCCTTGTTCTGGTCTTCTAGCACAGAGACCGGCCTGGGCTGACGAACCAGGCCATCTTTCTGCTCCATTCAGAAGGGATGAAGCCCGGAGAGAAACTGCTGGTGAAGCTCCTCCAAACAGACGACCTGATGATGATCAAGAACAATTTGGTGGAGCCCAAGAGGAAGAGAAGGTTCCCAGGAAACAGTGCTCCACTGGACCGGCTATCAATGGGCTCCATGGAGAACAGGCAGGGGAAGAAGAAGCAGAGGTAGGAGAGACCGTTCTCTGGAGGAGAACCTCGGCTTGTCCTAAAGTTCTGTCTTTCCTTCCCAGTAAGGTGGTCGAATCGCAACGACGACGTGAAAACCCTCCTCCCATTGACCGGGTCGGAATGAGTCGTCTACCAAAAACAAGAGGATAGCTTTCTCCTTTCCACAGAGCCCCTCTTTTTTAAAGGACTCCCTCTTCTGGACTGGTGAGGAACTGCAAGTATGTCAATAAATGCATAAAAAGTGTTTAAAATCACAGGAACTCCTCTTTTTTCTCTCCCCAATGAGGTCACTACAGATGATTATTACCGCCAATTACCTGCTGACCCACACCTGTGACCCTCCAACACACCTGGACATGCCAAGCCCTTTATTAAATGATGCATTCAGGTGCAGCTCAGAAAATCTGGACCAAAATAACATGTCTTAAGGAGAAATAAAACATATTTATGCAAAACAGACTTAATCCAAGACTTTAAAATACAGAAAAGTAAGTTTCAGATTAATTCATTAATGTAATTAAATGCAACTTCCTGTCCTCTCTAAATAAGTTCAAACAACAAACCCGGCAGTTATTACTCTAACTTTAAATCTTCTCTTATAGTTTAGTAAAGCATAAGTAAAAAAAAAAAAATCTTAACTCATATTTTATTCAAGCAAAAAGATACAAAAAAAACTCTCTAAATATTGAATTAAATGCTAGAGCAAAAGATTCAATTCCAGAACAGAATGAGAAGATCAATCAATTAAATCCTTGAAATGGTTACGTATCTGAATTAATAGCTACAAATGTGTAAATACAATAAAAAAAATGTCATCCATTGATCCATCTATCCATACATCCATCCCTGCTTCCATCCATCCATTTATTATTCATGCATATGGTGGAAGTTTTGTTCAAATTATGTGTTTTATTGTTTTTCTCAAAAGCTCCTATTGGAGCACTAAAGAGAGAAACATCACATTTCTTTGTGCAAGAACCCTCTATCACCCTTATGAACAAATCTGAAATATTCTAAGATAATCTTAGTTATTTTTAATTAATTATAATTTTAAATACACACCCATCCTCCAATATTTGTTATTGTAGGCCCACTTAATGATTTTATTTTTAAAAATTACACGAACTTCACCTGAATGCACCATATCTGGATCCCCTAGTGGCTCCTGACTGGAGGTGACAGGCACCTCGACTCGAACCGCCTGACCTGACAGGAGGTTCCTGCTGTTTTGTTCGTTTTGTTGATGTTTTTGTTGTTGTTTTTTGTTTGTTTGTTTTAGCAACAATGCAGTGAGATCTTTCTACTGCAGCACTAGAAAAGTCAGAAACAAACCACTAATGAAAGTTTATCTGTTTAGCACCTATCCTCCTTTTAAACACTTTATCCTAGTAGACATTTAAATATTAAGCCACACATTATATCGCTGAAATTCATCAGTGAAGAAAATGGCAATATATTTTATTTGATGAAGAAACATTTTTTAATAATGAGGTTTTCATGTTGAAAGTAAAAATGTACATACATTTTGAATGTTATCAAGAGCAATGCAGTGTGAGTTTTATCCACTAGAGGCGCTAGACCTGTAACTTCCATCAGTTAGCGCCACAGCAGTGTTGCATAAATGAAACTTACAAGGCCCCATTTAGCCCTCTGGACTACATCAGTGAAACAAAACATCTGACCAAATAATCGTCTAAGTTAGATCTAATGTTTAGGAGGAGCTCAGACTTTTGTAAAGCAGGTCTCTAAATAGCATGATTTAAATAAAGACGGACTCAATGCGTGTTTTTGTGAAGGGTAGCAAACACAACTATCAATATGCACCAAATACTGTATATTGACCAAAAAAATTTTTTTATGTATCTCAAATTAAGGTAATACTTACGTCGGAGAATTATGGCCAGGCTAGAATTTTCGTAGTTTTTTTTTTTTTTTTTTACTTTGAGAATAAAGTCGTAACATTACGAAAATTAGGTTGTAATATTACGAGAATAAAGTCATAACATTACGAGAATAAAGTATTAATATTATGAGAATAAAGTCGTAATATTACGAGAATAAAGTCGTAATATTACGAGAATTAAGTCATAACATTATAAGAATAAACTCATAACATTACAAGAATAAAGTCGTAACATTACGAGAATAAAGTTGTAACATTACGAGAATAAAGTCGTAATATTACGAGAATTAAATCATAACATTACAAAAATAAACTCATAACATTACGAGAATAAAGTCGTAACATTACGAGAATAAAGTTGTAACATTACGAGAATAGTCTTAATATTACGAGAATAAAGTCGTAACATTACGAGAATAAAGTCTTAATATTACGAGAAAAAAGTCGTAACATTACGAGAATAAAGTCGTAACATTACGAGAATAAAGTTGTAACATTACGAGAATAAAGTCGTAACATTTCGAGAATAAAGTCATAACATTATGAGAATAAAGTCATAATATTACGAGAATAAATTTATCATACAACAATGCGTTTCAGAGAGAAAGCTTCAACCTCCGGCCAGCATATGAAAGGCAACCTGCAACATCAAACAGCAACCTGAGTCCACTTTGACCTACTGCCTAATTTGATGCTGGTGCTAAAAGATTTCCGTATTTGTCAACTACAAGAAGCACTGTCTTCCTGTAGTTGAGTTCTCCTAAAATACAACTTGCTTCTCTTAATTTTAGGACTTTATTCTCTAACTGTTACTTTATTCTCGTAGTTTTACGACTTTATTCTCGTAATTTCATGACTATTCTCGTTGCGACTTTATTCTCATAATTTGACAACTTTATTGACCATATTGTATAACTATTGTTGTTGCGACATTATTCTAATAATTTTATGACTTTATCCTCGAAATAGAAGAAAAAAAACTCTCTAGGCTGGCCCTAATACTCCGTTGTAAATACTTGGGTCAAAGGTCACACGATGTTGCTTTAAAAGTAAATCAAAGCGTGGTTTTAGTTTTTAAAAGTATAATGATCTCATCAAAATAAATGGACTTTCACAGATAATAAACAATGACGATGATATCTGGATATCAAAAAAATACATTTCATTAGTTTTTTGTTGTAAACAGTGCCTGTTTTGACATTAGCTGTGTTGTTTTAGTTAACATTAATAGTTTATCTACTTTCTAACATTACAGATTTTAAGTTTTAAACTTTATCTAGGTGAGAACTTTTCAGAATATTTGTCCCTTAAAGCTCAAAAGCAGAAAAGGACTCAGTAACAACATCACATACTATCTGCTTTATATCTATATCAGCTATCGTTATCATTTTCATTGCTCCAGGCATACTTTGTTTGATTTGACCTGGTTCCTCTGCATGTATCACAGCAGCATGACCCTCATCACTCAATAGAAAGAAACCAGATCAGACTGAGGCTCCTTTAAGCCGCTTTATTGAGTTTTACTGTTTCTCCGATGTGTAAAACTTTCTGCTCAGTAACTAGTTCTGTTCCCTCTGCCAATCTTCAAATGTGCTTATTAATAAAGATGAAAAGAAGCAAATATTGGTCTGTTTCATTTGTTAAAAAGTGCAACTGGTTCATGTGGAAATGATTTCCATGCTGGATCTTAATAGATCTGCTTCTCAATGAAGAATAAATGTTTAGTTCCAGAACAATTTGCTGAGCTCTGAACATTTCCAGACCCACCAGGACATGAACGTCCACCCGGTGTGTTAGAGAAGTGCGCTTGTACTCTGAGAGGGTTGCAAGTCCCCGGTTCGATCCCCACATCCTCCACTCTTGATTCTTGAGCAAGACCCTTAACCCCGATTGCTTCCTGGGCGCCACAAAATGGCAGCCCACCGCTCCCAAAGGAGATGGGTCAAAATGTAGAGGTAAATTTCCCCATTGTGGGACAATAAAGGGATTTAGATTATATACTTGGGGAGGACTGGAGCATGCAGCATCAATATGGGTCAATTGGAACAGAAGCATACTTATGATGTCACCACACGCTCGGCTCATCTAAAGCTGCAACCTTAGGCTAGATCATCAGAGTTGAGGACTTGAGTCTGATTTTGCTGAACCTGTTTTGTGAAACGGACCCCTGAACAGAGATGTTCAGGGAAGGAGGATTTCTGAAATATATCTTTTTTGTCTGGGTTGATATAAACAAAGCCCAGCCACCGATTTTTATCTATAACATTTTCATTTTATTTTCCCTTTTAAATATTCTGAACTTCTGTTTGTTCAGCCAAATATGGAGAATCCTCTAAGTAGCCAAGCTCTAAGATAAATCAGAGGAGCGGATGAGCTGGTAGCACTGCTGTCCCGCTGAATAGTCTTATCAAATTCTCCTTGTGCAGCCTGGGCTCTTCCCAGGGTAACAATGACCATAGGCCTCCCTTGCATGTCATGTGACCTGTCCAGGTTCATCTCCAGTTAGAGATGCTGGGAGGATAGGCTTGTATTGGCTCTTCTATTTTTAAATGAACACCAATGACTAGTCTTTTTTTCTTAAAATAAGTAATTTTTTCTTGAACTGAGTGAGACTGAACAAGACAATTTACATTTAAAATAAGAAAAAATTGCATTGTCTTTTTTCAAATGAATATTATCTAATAATCTTATTTTAACAGTAAAAATACACTCACCGGTCACTTTATTAGGTACACCTGTCCAACTGCTCGTTAGCACTTAATTTCTAAGTAGCCAATCACATGGCGGCAACTCAGTGCATTTAGGCATGTAGACATGGTCAAGACAATCTCCTGCAGTTCAAACCGAGCATCAGTATGGGGAAGAAAGGTGATTTGAGTGACTTTGAACGTGGCATGATTGTTGGTGCCAGAAGGGCTGGTCTGAGTATTTCAGAAACTGCTGATCTACTGGGATTTTCACGCACAACCATCTCTAGGGTTTACAGAGAATGGTCCGAAAAAGAAAAAACATCCAGTGAGCGGCAGTTCTGTGGGCGGAAATGCCTTGTTGATGCCAGAGGTCAGAGGAGAATGGCCAGACTGGTTCGAGCTGATAGAAGGGCAACAGTGACTCAAATAACCACCCGTTACAACCAAGGTGGGCAGAAGAGCATCTCTGAACGCACAGTACGTCGAACTTTGAGGCAGATGGGCTACAGCAGCAGAAGACCACACCGGGTGCCACTCCTTTCAGCTAAGAACAGGAAACTGAGGCTACAATTTGCACAAGCTCATCGAAATTGGACAATAGAAGATTGGAAAAACGTTGCCTGGTCTGATGAGTCTCGATTTCTGCTGCGACATTCGGATGGTAGGGTCAGAATTTGGCGTCTACAACATGAAAGCATGGATTCATCCTGCCTTGTATCAACGGTTCAGGCTGGTGGTGTGGGGAATATTTTCTTGGCACTCTTTGGGCCCCTTGGTACCAATTGAGCATCGTTGCAACGCCACAGCCTACCTGAGTATTGTTGCTGACCATGTCCATCCCTTTATGACCACAATGTACCCAACTTCTGATGGCTACTTTCAGCAGGATAATGCGCCATGTCATAAAGCTGGAATCTTCTGACTGGTTTCTTGATCATGACAATGAGTTCACTGTACTCAAATGGCCTCCACAGTCACCAGATCTCAATCCAATAGAGCATCTTTGGGATGTGGTGGAACGGGAGATTCGCATCATGGATGTGCAGCCGACAAATCTGCGGCAACTGTGTGATGCCATCATGTCAATATGGACCAAACTCCCTGAGGAATGCTTCCAGCACCTTGTTGAATATATGCCATGAAGAATTGAGGCAGTTCTGAAGGCAAAAGTGGGTCCAATCCGTTACTAGCATGGGTTACCTAATAAAGTGGCCGGTGAGTGTACTCATGGGCGATCATCTTATTTGCCCATTTAAATTAAGGGTAAATACTACTCTTTGAAGAAATTTTTATTTCTTTTTAGATTGTTTTAGCAGTGTGGTCAATATTTTTGTTTTGAATCACATCAAGTAACCCTGAATGTTTAGCAGATGGAACCCATTAGATGCTGAGAAAACTAAAAGCTAGATAAAAACAGATGACTGACATCGCCGTGTTGGAGAGTTTATTGAATTTGTTCGTAGACCAGAAAACTTTACAGCAGATAAATCACATTCTTTAAGAAGCCCTTTGAGAGAGGCAGAGCTGAACCTGAGGAGGGCGGCACTGGGAGAAAACCACATTAAAACAAAACAACAAAAACAAAGAGATCCTAAAAAAATAGATATGGAGTTTATCAGAGTGGCATCCGGTTCCCCTCCACGCTGATCTTCACGGCGTGACCCGTCTTCGTCAGCCGCCGGATGTCTGCAAATCTACGCATCTGTTTATCGACCCGAGACAAACCCTTCTTCACTGGCCCCTGTAGGATAAAAAACAGGAAACGGAAAAGTTATTTCAAAATAAGAGCGTCGCCAATGCTCTAAAAAAGGTTCCTATGCAGTTTCCTGGAAAGTTCCAGATTCTATTAGTTTTACATCCAACCATCAGAATGAAGGGGAAGAAAAAGCTACGAAAGGTTTAACAGTTTCTGAAGAAAGGATATTTAGATCAGATGTTTTTATCTTCCCGTCTGCGTAGGAACCTTCAGAGCCATGGCTAAATGGAGCTTTGCTGCATTCCTCATCTTCTACAGCAGCCAAGGATTTTAGTTTTTGTCGTTCCTGCAGTCTGCTGTTCTTTATGTTAGTTAAACCAGTTCAGGTGTAAATGAAGCGCAGTCAGACCAACCAACTCGTCCTGGAAGCTCCTCCAGCTCCGTTTCATTCACAGCATCCGTGCTGATTAGTTCTACAGCATCAGCTGCTGCGCTCCACACCATGCAGACAGACTTACTGCCCCCTGCAGGCGAGCAGCAGGAGCTACAGCGGCATCCTGTTCCCCTCTATGCTGATCTTCACGGCTCCCTGCGGCCGCCGAAGCTTCCTCTGCTCGGAGAAGCGCCGCTTGTGCTTCTCCAGCAGGTTCATTGCTTTCTTATAGCCGCTCTACAGAGGACCAATCAGAGCTCAGCAGCAGACCTCACCTGGGTCATACTGTCACTAACAGCAGGTAAGGGATCAGCTGCTCAACGTGGGATGTTTTATTCTACTTATAAGATCCATTCCATGATGCCAACTAGAGCTGGAACCTCAAAATGGATCAGAACCAAAACTTCAACCCTGATCTGCTACTAGATTTATGTTTGGACTGAATCCATTGAGATGCTTCTGGGAAAAAAAGAGGCTAATATTTAGCTAAAAGCTTTGGGACCTTCAACTCTGCAGCAAAAAGTTTGGCCAGATAAAAAAGGTTTCTAGCTTTAATATGAAATTAGAATTTTTTAATGTAGAAAAAAAAGTTTCTTATGAGCAGCTCTAATGTTTTGTTAATCATCTCTGCTTGCATTAAAAACATTAACTTTATTACAAATGTATTTATGATTCAATTCACAAATCAAATGAGTTTCTCTTTTCTAATCAAATTCAAATTTGAATGGAGTTCACATTTTATTTTAAAAATAGACTTTATGTGAGAAATAATTATTTTTAATGTTTAACATAAAAATACTAAACAAAACGTACAGCAAAGCTATTTAGTTTTAAAAAAATAAAAAATTGCCAGATGGATGTCACCATGTTTACATTGCAATGCATTTTGGGTAAATGACATATGCTAGCTCCTGTAGCGCTTGCTCCACCCAATTAAAACACCAATGACTAAAGTTAACCCTGTAATGCCAAATGTATCATATTTGATAAATACGGTTTCTGAAATGTTTTGCATCTGACACCTTTTGCATAATTTAATGGTAAAAACTTTGCTCAAAATCCTATTGTACACAATCAGATATACCTGACAACAGAGGGCAGAAGACTACACAAAAAATAATCTTGACTTATCGCATAGTAATAAATTATTAATATCAAAAATGTATTTCTGTTTTTTCTTTTTACATATTTTGTTAAAAGGCCAAATAAGGACTTCAAACCAAAAAAAAAGAAATTTTCTGTTTTGTTTTATTCTTGGATCGGGCTTTAAAGGGTTAAGGATATATCATTTTAAAAACAATGATAAGCTTTTATGCATCACAACTGCAATTTTTAAAGTCGTGGGGAAGCTGCTGTTCCTACTGTTGCATTTCCGAATTCTCCCGAGTGGTGCAAGACTTTACACAAGGGAATTAAGTGAACGTAATTGGTCGTTTATCAAGGGGGCGAGATTGTTGTGGCTCAAGGTTTTCAAGCAAGTTTGATTGTGGCCGGTTTGTCGAGGGCATTTTGCTAACCAGTTAGCAACTTAGTGCTAGCAGGTTCCCAATGGGAAATAACATTGGGACCAAGTAGCACTAAATTGGTGACTTAGAAACGACACTGTCAAGGAACGCAATGGACAGAGGAAACATGCAAGAGGAGGAGAGTTTAGTGTCGGAGGTCGTGGATGAGTCTCCTCCGTCATTTTTATTTTTTTATGACTGAAAAGATTTGAAGATCGTTGATATATGATTGGCCTAATTTAGGTGTACAGTCTGACGTATAAATAACTGGCCTGCATAAGATAACGAAAAATAAAAATAAACAGATTTTAAGACAGGATTTTTATAAAAATAGAAATTTTTTAACTGTTGGGACAATATCATCTGATGAGAACATTTATATACATGTTTAAGCCAGGATGATTGACATTTAAATATGATTTCCCAACGACTTTAAGGTAATAGGAAAATTAAAATATCTTCAGACCAACGTGATCATCTAGAGGTGGATCCCTTTAAGTAAAGCATCCAGTTTTTAACGCAGGCAGAGGTTCAGACTCACCCTGCTGGATTCCCCCTCCACGTTCCATTTGGGTCGGACCACATAGTCCTTGTTTGAAGGCATCGGAACACGAGCTCGGGCGCAGAACCCAGGGTCACCGGGTCGCAAAGCTCTGGGGGGAGGGGTTAGAAACATGGGTTAAGGAAAACCATCTCTGGTTTAAATCTCCAGATACATTAATCAGCCCTGATAGAAAAAAATAGAGCTTAATTTAACAAATGAAATACTAAATTTTAGGATAAATTTTTTTTTTTATGATTTTAATAAAAGGAATATATTAAAAAAAATAAAAAAACAATATAAATATTTGACTGTAAGTTAAAAAAATAAAACCACTATCAAACTGATTTAAAATAAGTTTCAATGAATAATAAAAGCAAAAAAAAGGTACAAAAAAAGAACTTCATTCGAGTGAAACTATTGATATAAAACATGAAGGTTCTGACTTCTCCTCTCCGGTGAGCTGCTTCTCCAGGTCTCTGCGGGGCGTTTGGCCTCCAGCGCTGCACAGAGACATAAACACAAGCTTCAGTTGATCATTCAGGTCCAGCTGCACCACAAACAGCTCATCCCAGAGAAGCTCCATGCCGTTAACACCAGGCTTCACCCCATAGCGGGTTAGTGAAGCAGATAACATCATCTCTGGACCCAAACTGAGCTGATTCAGAACGTTTAGCAACGACGTCGAACTCTGCTGATTGGCATCTCTACCATCGGGTCGAGGCTACAGCAGTGGGAAATATGGGTCTATATGAATAACTAACTCTTCTTCTCTGCTGCCATTTAGGTCCTAAACAGTTAACTTTAGGGTTCCCAAATCTCTACAATCGCATTAAATGCACATTTTTGTGCTCCATGCACGTTTTCCACATATAAAGAAGTCATCACCTAAAAACCTGACTTTTTCTTAAGACTTTTTGCGTTGGTCTTTAGTTAAAACCTGCTGGTCCTCTTAGTGATTTACATCATTCATGGAAGGGCGCTAATGTTAGCCCACCTGGCTAACACTTCATCTCTATTCTACCAATCAGGGACTCTCCTACAAGCAGAAACCCTAGAAACGATGGTAAACAAACTGAGGCTAACTGCTAATGCTGCTAATGCTACATCCACATGAACACAAATCATATTCTCATGCATACCCTCACTGCATAAAGAGAATGAAAAGTGGTCAGGATGAGGTCGTTTGAACTTTCTACGAAAACTTATTAACTATGATTTCAAAGACTAATACAGAAGCACTGTACATATAAAATACCAGGTTATGACTGATAATTAGTCAAAGTGTGTATTTGTTTATCCACTACATCTGATGTTTATAATTTTTATATCTGAATCTTGTTTTATTTCTATTCATATTTTTTCATAAAATTTTCCTCTTTTTGTATTTTCTCTAATATGTTTAATGTGGACAAGAGTTTTATTAAACAAGGAAACCTGAACATCTGAAAATAAACACTTTAAATATTAATCTTCAGAGATACTGAGCAGCTGGACATGCTATCCTCCTGCAACATGAAGCTCAGAAAAGACTGAAAGTTTAAAATCATGCCAGCAGGAGGAGATCAACACTCCTCAGTGCAGCAGCGCCCCCTACTGTCTACTGTTACACACCATTTCATAAAAGCACATCATTTCATCATCATCATTCCAGGCAGTAAACACTAAACAGGCATCTCTGGTTTCCTGGCGTTGGAGCATCTCCAGCATCAGTAATATTCAGGATTACTGAGGCTGAAGGACCTGCAGCGCAAACATGCAGCAGCTCTGAAACTAAACCTGCTGGGTGGAGAGAAGACGTCGGGTTCCTCCGCCCTCTCCACCTTCTGAGGCTCGCTGGGGGAAACGGGGAGGAGGGGGAGAGATGGGGGTGAGAGGAAGGAAAGAGGAGAAAAATGGAAGAGAGAAGCTTTCTGCTTTTTAGCTTCAGAACCAAACTGTGAAAACTGGAGAAAAACAACTGAAAGAAAAACTGAGGAGCTTCTGGATCCTTTCAGCAAAAAGCTGACAGATAGATCCTCTACTGTTAGAAGCTGACAGATAGATCCTCTACTGTTAGAAGCTGACAGATAGATCCTCTACTGTTAGAAGCTGACACATAGATCCTCTACTGTTAGAAGCTGACACATAGATCCTCTACTGTTAGAAGCTGACACATAGATCCTCTACTGTTAGAAGCTGACACATAGATCCTCTACTGTTAGAAGCTGACACATAGATCCTCTACTGTTAGAAGCTGACACATAGATCCTCTACTGTTAGAAGCTGACACATAGATCCTCTACTGTTAGAAGCTGACACATAGATCCTCTACTGTTAGAAGCTGACACATAGATCCTCTACTGTTAGAAGCTGACACATAGATCCTCTACTGTTAGAAGCTGACACATAGATCCTCTACTGTTAGAAGCTGACACATAGATCCTCTACTGTTAGAAGCTGACACATAGATCCTCTACTGTTAGAAGCTGACACATAGATCCTCTACTGTTAGAAGCTGACACATAGATCCTCTACTGTTAGAAGCTGACACATAGATCCTCTACTGTTAGAAGCTGACACATAGATCCTCTACTGTTAGAAGCTGACACATAGATCCTCTACTGTTAGAAGCTGACACATAGATCCTCTACTGTTAGAAGCTGACAGATAGATCCTCTACTGTTAGAAGCTGACACATAGATCCTCTACTGTTAGAAGCTGACACATAGGTCTTCTATAGGTAGAAGTTGACAGATAGATCCTCTACTGTTAGAAGCTGACACATAGGTCTTCTATAGGTAGAAGTTGACAGATAGATCCTCTACTGTTAGAAGCTGACACATAGGTCTTCTATAGGTAGAAGTTGACAGATAGATCCTCTACTGTTAGAAGCTGACACATAGGTCTTCTATAGGTAGAAGTTGACAGATAGATCCTCTACTGTTAGAAGCTGACACATAGGTCTTCTATAGGTAGAAGTTGACAGATAGATCCTCTACTGTTAGAAGCTGACACATAGGTCTTCTATAGGTAGAAGTTGACAGATAGATGCTGTTAAAGGGGTAGATGAAGTGTGTGATGAGGAAGATGAGGAAGAGGAGGGTGTGCTGGGAACCCTGTGAGGCCGTCACCTCAGTCGGCGTTTCTGAGGCGTCTGCTGGTCCAGGTCCCTCTGCTGCCGCTCCTCTCTCGTCATCCCCTTGTAATTGGAGGTCAGACCGAAGATCGGCCGGGACCACTCATCTGCAAAGAGCCACAGGATCAGCTCCAACGTGGTCGTCATCATCATCATCAACTCAGCAGCTAGATCGTCTTATATTAGAGGAGCTCCTGCAGCTCCAGAACGTTCATCTTCCTGTGCTGGCGAGGAAAGCAGCGGTTCTTACTGATGAGCTTCAGAGCGAGGTCTTTGTTGGCACGCGATTCTTTGGGATGTTTGTAGAGGAACATGACGGCGCGGCCGATCCCGCTGTGCTTCAGGGTTTCCTGGCTGACGTTGGGAAGCTGCGGCAGAAAGACGCAGAGTGACTGAAAATTCAGAAGCTCAGCTCAGCTTCACTTACAGGTCAGGACTCACCTCCTGCAGGATCCTGAGCAGCTCCTCTCTGATCCTCAGGGCAGGCAGCGATTTGTCCGGTAGAGGGCTGATCCACTCTTTGATGGCTGACATCACTCCACTGTCGATAAAGGTCTCCTTCAGGTCCTGTCTGCGGGACAAACAGGACAGCAGTGCCTCACATTGGTCCCAGTGGAAACCAGCTGGTTCTGTGGTCAAATGGAGCAGAAATAAAACAAATCCTTACTTCTTCAGGTGCATAACGACCTGCGGCAGCAACGTCAGCTTCTTCAGCGCCGGCTTCTTCTGGCTGTTCAGAGTCCGATCCTCCTGGTAAACGAACAAACAATCAGTGGGGTATATAGCTCCGTCTGCCAAGCTTTTATTATGAAAGTGTTATAAAATACGTTCTATTGCTGAGCCTTTATTGTGAAAGTCAGGCAGGCTTAATAAGCAGGGCTTTTACTGTGAAAGTTAACTATACCAAGCTCTGTAATGTTAAAAGAAGCAGAGATTAACTATGGTAGGCCTTTATTGTGAAAGGCAGCAAGGTTAATCAGGCAAAGGATTTTACTGTGAAAGGCAGGCAGAGAGAAATACACCAAGGCTTGTAACAGATTAAGTAAATGGGATTCATTATGTCAAGGCTTTTAATTTGAAGGGAAAATCAGGTCTCCAGAATGGAAATGCAGTTGCATCTGTAGGGCCTTTTATTGTGGAGGGTAGGTAGGGCTTACCTCTGCAGCCTCGTTCATCTTGGTTATCATGGCGCTAACAACGTCATCAGCGTCGCTGATGAACGTTCCTCCGTCGCGATGTCGCCTCTTCCGACTATTCATGGCTTTTCTCTTGGCCAGCATGATGTCGAAATCGGACATGAAGCTCGTGCTAAATCACACAAACACAGGTTAACCTCAGCGTCTGACAGAGATGGCAACAAACCACCGGATCAGGACCTACTCCTGCCCGCTGCGGTCCACCCCTTCATCGGAGTCCGACTCCTCCACCGCCTGCTGCTGCTCCTTTGGCTGCTTGTTGTCGGCCTCAAGTTCCTCCTGGTTGAAGCCCTGCAGGAGGAGGTGGTTTTGGAGGTGAAGCTGACCGCTGATCAGTTTCACAGCAAACAGCATCAGAGGGAATGCTTACCGTGAACTCCTCCTCCTCTTCATCTCCGGACTCTCCAAAGATATCGGCGATAATTTTCCTGCAAAAAACATTTAATCTGGGTCAGCAGTCAGTTTAATCCCCAACAAACATCCACTACAGGCCGGACCCAGGACTTCAGAACCATATAAAACTGGATTAAGTTCTAAAGATCAATCATTCCCACAGTTTGTTCTGGGTTTCTCCTGCAGATTTCGGGGAGTTGCAGCCCGAGCATCAGGCTGTAACTCCCTCTGTTAAAGAGGAGGCTCCTTCTCAGGCTTTGGACCATCTGATCCGAGGTTTTCAGAATTTCCTGAGATCCGGTATAAAACCCAGATGCAGCTTAGACCAGAATTGCTACATACGTTTCACAGGTTCAGTGTATCAAAGGTATGTTTAGTTTCCAGAACCGAAGCCCCAGATATGAGTCTGTGGTTCTGATCCTGAACAGATGATTGCGCCACCTCAGACCCAGCTGGTGTTTGTTCTGATTCTGAATCAGGTCTCAGAGTAAACTGAGGGAGGGAGAAGCTCTCGTTCAGCCTCTTCCCTCCCTGGTCGTCACGCCTGCAGCTCTACATTGTGCCAGTAGGGGGCGAAGTTTGCCTGAACAGATTAACTCAGACTCACTCTTGCTCCTCTCCGGAGTCGCTGTCGCTGCCGAACAGAGCCTTCTCATCCTTTTCCGTCGCGGGCCTGGCCTGGTCGTCCTCGTCGCTCCCGCTGTCTGATCCGAGCTCCCTCAGCTTGGCTGCCAGGCTTTTATCCGGACCGTCGGAAGCGTCGTCGCTACCCGAGTTCTCATCATCGGACACCGCCCGACTCCTCTTAACTGCCGAGTCAGAAGGAGGGAAGCAAAGAAAACGAATGACTGAAAGGTTTTACAGGAATGAGTCACTCCAATTTCATGCTTTTTAATGCTCTTAGAAATTATTTAATGCCATCAACAAGTACCCATGACTCTCTATATATATAACAGCGTAAAATCCTTGGCCATCCTTACCGTCGACAGGCTACAGCCATGTCCTGAATTCCTCGATTTTCAGCCACTTTAGTTGAAATTTGTATTTTCCCATTTTCTAGCTTTTCTCCCCCTCAAGCTTCTTTTCCGAACAAACGGCTTTACAATCAATTTAAAAAAATTATAATTTTACGACTTTTAATGACCCACAGAAACCATGTTTTAAACTAAAAAAAAAGCCGCCTGACTTACCTGGTTTGTCTTCCTTATCCTCGTCCTCGTCTTCGCTGTCAGACAGGATGGCCTTCTTCCTCTTCACTGCGGATCCACAGACACATGTTAACCCAGACACTGCAGCAGCATCACAACCATCCCACGACCCGACACGAAGACAAGAACTTTGAGGTTTCAAAACAAGGCTCTAAATGGAACAGTCTGTACCAGGCATGGTGGTAGCTGTGTTATGATGTGGGACTGCTAGACTAGAACAAAGTGGTAGAAAACCTGAAGGAGAAACATCAGAACAATGATCCATTTAGAACAGATCAGGTTCTGGGCCGGCTACCACCAGAAAAGGTTCAGGTGCCGCTCCTCTGGTCTCTCACAGGACTGCTGCTCTAATATCCAATCAGAATCACATACAGCCCCCCTCGGCGGGTGGGGGGGACGTTTAATCTGGTACCTGGTTTCTCGTCTTCTTCATCGCTGTCCTCTCTCTGCTGCTTGCCTTCCTCCTGCTGCTCTTCATCACTTCCAGCTGCAGCTTTCTTCCTTCGTACTCCTTCGTCCTCCTCGCTGTCAGACTGCATCACCCCCTTCCACTTCCCTCCGCTTTCTCCTTCCTCCTCCTCTGAGTCCACTGCCGCCGCCTTGCGCCTGGTGGGCGCCTCTGTTTCAGAGTCACTGTCAGAGCGCCGGTCCGGAGACACGGCAGGTTTCTCCTCTTCGTTCTCAGAGTCGCTGTGAGCGGCGGCTTTGGCAGTGTCCTCCCCGTCCTCCACCTCTGAGCTGCTCCCTCTGCGTCTAACGGGGGACCTGTCCTCCTCCTCCTCGTTGTCGGACGCTGCGGGTTTGACCGGAGACGACTCCTCATTGTCCGACCTGCTCGCCCTTCTTTTCTCCGGCGACTCCTCCTCATCGTTTTCTGAGCCGCTCATCCTGTGTTTGACTGCAGTGTCCTCGTCATCGCTGTCTGCCGGCCGCGGAGCCTCCGCCTCCGAGTCACTTTTGTCATTGTGGCCACCGGGGGCCTCGCCATCAGAGTCGCTGTCTGCCTTGCGGCGCTCCTCTGTGTCTGAGCTGCTAGCTGCGCCGCCCGTTTCCATGGCATTGGAGGCGTCTTCATCGTTGCTGCCCTCGTCCTGCAGAGACCGAAAACGCAGAAGATCACCATGGAGACCAGTGAGAGATAAAGGAAGAAGAATCAACCTCTAGCCGATTTTTGAAGAATTCACAAAACAAAGCTTTTTCTTTTCCAAAGAAAGAAGAAATTTCCATTAAATAAATAAATGGTATTAATGAGGACAATTTGTAATTTCCCAGTTTTAGTGAATGCAACACAAACACCACAAAACAGAAATTAGCTTGTATAAAAGAGGTCCCACAAGAAAATTAAAAGTTTTTTTTTTTTTTTGGGTAGAAAGAAAAAGAGGGAGAAGAAGGATCAAGACGCCAAATGGAATCATTCTGCCGATTCAGAATATGGTGCAGATTAATGCTCCTCCACATGTGCAGCGTAATCCTCATATGAATCAAGTTGCTATGACCAAAAACATTTGATTGACAGATGACCGTTGATATATGATTGGCCAAAATTAGATGTTTACGGTAACTAACTGGCCTGCATAAGATAACGGAAAAAAAACAGATTTTAATACAGGATTTTCTTTTTGACCACCACACCATGAGAGATACCACAAAATAATGTCTGTTTCTTGGTTATTGTTTGGGTGACTGTGGGTAAAGTGGGACGCTTCTTGAAAATGTAGCTTCTGTATTATTTATTTAGCCTATTTCATCTCTAGAGCAAAAGTTTCATATGATAAAAACCTGTTCAAAGACTTACCGTTACTAATTATTTAGGTGGCACACATGTCATAAATGCTAAATTCAAATGAGCCATCTCACCATACAGTGAGATTAATCTAGATTTTAAAAAATAATCTATGCCTACTACTGAAATAAATTTAAAACAAAAACTAAGTCCGAGAACACAGCAGAGTTCTTCTTGTTTCAAGGTTCTAGTTTTCCATCAAAAAATGCGAAAACAAAAAAAATCCAGTTTGATGATTTTTCAATGTCGACTGAAAGGATTGTTCCCTGGACAGCATTAAATATTCTTTATCAAAAGGAACAAACATGCCGACCTCTGACTGATGGCCGTCGCTTCTCATGTCCTCGCCATCGGATTGAGGATGCTCATCCTGAACCGGGGTGCCGCCTCCATCATCTGAAAACAAACATTAGAAAGTTAACCTTTATGGTTTCGGGCGAAACTGCATAAACCCAGCACCTCGGCGTGGGAAACACAACAACAAACATGATAATATTCCTCAGAAACAAAACAACCGACTCAGATCTAACTGGAGCTATGTTGATGCTCCTGCTAATCAGACACTTAAAAAGATGATCTGATTTTATTTGAGGTATGGAAAACAGTTATTTAAAATAAAAGTAACACAGTGACAGCAACCATGTCAGACCTTTTAGGCTGGGGTGTGTTCATGCTCTAAAAGAATCGGACTAAATCAGATCCGAATAAATCAATTCAGTTTACCGGCTGAATTTTTTCAGGCTCTAAGAGAATATTATGTAAGAATGACTAACATTTGTGGGCAAATGTTGTTGTTCTGGACCGCATCACAGAAGTTAAAGGAATAGTACACCCAAAACATGATTAGCCTTCATTTTCTACTCACCCCCATGCTGAACAACACTCTGGAGTACTTTTTTGATATCTCAAATGCATCTGGAGATCTGGGAGGCTTCTTGCTGTCTGCTGACATTCAAATAATGGAGGTCTATTGTGCCCGAGACAGAAAGGTCCATAAAAGTCCACAAAAACGTGTCAATATTCCTCCATACTGCTCGTCCAATGTAATCCAAGTGTCCTGAGTGGGTAGCATCCAGAATTTACTCGAAACGAAGTCATTTAGAATGTTTTTAGAGCATAAACAGTAGTGTATAGGATTTCCTAATAGCGCCCCCATGCGCGCTCACGACGCTACGGAAGCCGGCAGACCAAACCGGAAGAAAGTGCGCATTCAGCGTCTGGTCTGCCGATAATGCAAGCGTAGAAGAAGAAATGTGCTGTTTACCTGTGCAAAGAAAGAAACAACGAAAGAAAAATGTCTGAGGACTTCAGTGTTGAGGAAGAGCATGAGTTCTTTGCCGAGCTGAATGCGCTGGTTTGGTCTGCCGGCTTCCGTAGAATCGCGAGCGCGCATGGGGGCGCTATTAGGAAATCCTATACACTACTGTTTATGCTCTAAAAACATTCTAAATGACTTCGTTTCGAGTAAATTCTGGATGCTACCCACTCAGGACACTTGGATTACATTGGACGAGCAGTATGGAGGAATATTGACACGTTTTTGTGGACTTTTATGGACCTTTCTGTCTCGGGCGCCATGGACCTCCATTATTTGAATGTCAGCAGACAGCAAGAAGCCTCCCAGATCTCCAGATGCATTTGAGATATCAAAAAAGTACTCCAGAGTGTTGTTCAGCATGGAGGTGAGTAGAAAATGAAGGCTAATCATGTTTTGGGTGTACTATTCCTTTAATGCAGCCGAAATTTAAGACATTAAAAATAGCTGGAGAACTATGATGTAAGCATCCTTAAACCCAGGAATAAAATAGAAAGAAATGATTGTACGTTAAACCCAAACCTCACAAATCAGAAATAGCTTTAAATTCAAAATTATAACCTGATTTCACATCTTCTCACTAAGAAGTTCTCAGGGTATTAGTTCAACTGAATAATATCTGTTCCCAGATATGCATTCAGACAATCTACAAACATGTTACAATAAACCTGATGAAAAAAAATCCTGATGGCCTTAAATGTCATGCGGGGAACTTGTAATTACTAATTAGAAAAAAAGGATTTTCGTTAAGAAAAACAAATCCCAGATCTGAAACCTTATTAGAGAAAAAACATTCAGATAATGCATAAAGATAAAGCTGTAATAAAGCTTTGTACGTAATATCCAACACAACCTTAACAGATCATTAAGTGACTAAAATAAGGAAGGGTTTTTCCTGAAAAGAGATCACTGAGGACAAACTCTTTAAATAACACCTCAAAACATATATGTATTTAATAACCAGGAAACATGACAAAAAATTCTGATAGAAATTGTAATCTTACTAAGATCAGAGAATTTGCTTAGAGGTTACAGAAGGCAGCTGCTCACCTCTCAGGAAGTGGCCCCGATTAACAGTTATAAATGCATTTTGTACATCTCCAGTCTGCCACATCATCCGTTTTACATCATAAACATTAGAAGATGAGTGGACAGCCATGGCTCCAGCCTTATCAAAATATTACACTTTGTTTTTATATTAAGGACACCGCTCTCATTCCATTCCCTAATATTTGCCAAGTACAAAATGAATATTCTAACTCTATATCCAGACAGAAGAACTGTCTTAATTAGATTAACTTTTGTGGAAAACTTTAGTTCTGACACGTAACAGGTAGCTAATATTAAGGTGTATAAACTCACATCATCAATGATAATGATCTAACACCGGGAAATATGAAATATATATAAAGGAAGTGGAGGATCTCAGCAGATGGCTCTGAGATGGAAGAAGGACCAACAGTAGAACAGAAGAAAGAGTCCAGGAGGCTGAAGGGCAACATGGGGGAAATATTTGTTTGGACCAGCAGCATGTTTCTACAGTCAGTGATGAGGTGGGCTGCAGGTCAGCTATAGTATTCATTAGTCAATCAATACTTTGCTGATAAATCTGGAGAATTCTGATCCTCCAGGAAGTTCAGCAAGAAATAAAGTAATTTAAATATGGACCCAGATGTTTTTAACCAGAGGTTGTCTTCCATCAACCAGTGAGTGAAAGTAAAACCTGAAAGCCAACAGACACTGAAATCCCAGCTCATAAAGGAGAAAAAACAAAACAAAAGGACAATTTTAAACGGAAATAGCGGGAAACCAACCCCCACCAGGGCGAGCATTACAGACACAATTGAGCTAATAGCCTTCAGAACCTCAGGTTAGTAGCGATTAACCCCGCCACTGGAGCAGCTCATGGTGAGCTTTGTTAACGTCTACATGCTAGCATGTTATCCGGGTAGCAGAGCGCACTTACCGGACATGAATTCCTCCTCTCCCCCGTCCATCTTTCTGGCCTCCGGGTCGGACCTCAGTGGGTGGGCCGGTACCTTCTTACTAGAGTTTCTCTCCCAGCCAAGAAATACAAATAAAAACCAAACATAAATGAAGATACAAGAGGCACAAAAACAAGAAGCTAGCTGCCGTTAGCAGCTCAACAGGCAAAATGGGGGAACCATCGTAGACTGCGCATGCGTCGTAGATTACGTAACTTACGTCTCTTCATTTGATGTTTTATGGTGCATGGAGAACAAACCGAGGTGTAATACTGCCACCTATAGATCTGGAGCATCACTCCCAACAACTTAGAATTTTATTTTGTTGTAACTCCGGAAAAGGATTAGGGCCACTGAAAAAATAAAAAGAGTTAACTGATTTTTAAATATTATTTCAGTTTAATATTTTATAAGATAAAAAGTCAGAATTCTGACTTTTTTTTAGAATTCAGACTTTTTTCTGACTGTAAAATTGTAGGGAAATCATATTTAAATGTCAAATCATTCTGGCTTAAGCATGTATATAAATCACAGGTGTCAAGTAACGAAGTACAAATACTTCGTTACTGTACTTAAGTACACTTTTTAGGTATGTATACTTTACTCCATTACTTATTTTTCCTCCTACTTTTGACTTCTACTCATTACATTTTCACACAAGTATCTTTACTTTACTCTTGCATGTTTCCGTTGTCCATAGCGTTCCTTGACAGTGTTGTTTCTAGGTCAACAATTTAGTGCTCCTTGGTCCCAATGGAATTTCCCATTAGGAACCTACAAGCACAACGTTGCTAACTAGTTAGCAAGATGCTCCCGATAAACCGTCAACAACCAAACTTGCTTGCGAATCTTCCACCACAACAATCCCGCTCTCTCAATTAAAGACCAATCACATTCACTTTATTCCTTCACGTAAAATGGGGCACCACTCAGGAGAATTCGGAAATGCAACGGTTGGAAGAGCCGCTTCCCTACAACTTTAATCTAAGAATTTTGGATCTTAATGTAGATGGGCACCATGAAGGAAGAGATATGGGAGCGCTCAGCTTCACTGACAAAGATGTGAGCTGTTTGGGAGGGCCAGTAACACATTGGTGGAAAATAAGGGAATTTGGCAACTTTTTACGTGCCCGAGGGGTCCCCTGTGATGCTATTTCATTAATGGACGAGCAGAAGGTGATTAAAACAAGAGAGCTACTGTAGTCTCTAAAACATACTTGGCTACGGCCTGTTGCTAACATGTTTGTTAGCTGCCAGAATTTAGTCCGAATTCTGAGAAAAAAATCAGAATTCTGACTTTTTCCCACATTAAATTGAAATAATACTTAAAAATCAGTTAACTTTTTATTTTTTCAGTGGCCCTAATCCTCTTCCGTAACTATCTTATTAGAACACCTTATAATTAATATTTTTGAATGGAAAAATATAAATAAACATCTACCAACCTAAAGATGTCTTAACAGCATTTTAAGAGCGTTAACCTGTTATTTCTATGAAGGACACCCTGAAGATGTGCTTCATTTATTCTGCTCTCTTTGGTAAGACATTTTCTCATTAAACTGTTTTTGTATTGAACCCGCTTCTTTCTCTTTGCTTTGAACATAGATTGGCTTCATCAACTATTCCTCTGTGAAAACAGATCCTGGCATCTCTACAAATGTTGTTACTGTACATAAAAAGGCCTCTTCTCCATTTTTGAAATTAATTTCAAGGGATAACTCTAAAGTATTTAACATTCAAAGAATGAATGAGTTATTAAATGAATAGGAATTTATTTCAGACAATTTGACAATCAACAATAACAAAAACAAATGAATCAACCAAATACACACAAAATAGGACAAATCAATATCAACAGAAACAAACAGCAATTTCCAAACTAACTAAATTCACCTGAACATAAATAGAAACAAAACCCTCCACCAAATAAACCTGTTGGTATATAGCGCCAGAGAACTGACATCAATTAATGAAAAAAATCTGAAAAGGGATATGAAGAAGAAAAACTTATTTTTCATGTGCTCTTTCCCTCTAATAGCATTTAAATTAATTTAAAGTAGAGTAACCTTCCTGTTAAACTTGTTTATTATCTAATATTCTCACAAAATACATATATACATATATAAACAATTATATATGTATATATACACACATATATATATATACATATACTATAATATATACAACTACATGCATACATGTAAATGAATATATACAGACCTACACAAACACATCAGGTCAAAATCCACATTTACACCCTTGTACAGTCAGAGAACTGCGACCCCCCAGAACCCCCCAATCATCAGTACCACAGAACAACACCACAGTCCCTGCTCCCGCTCCCCCCACCGGTCCCACCCCGCACCCCACAATGACACTCACCTCCCCTCTTCCTCACAGTACATGTTAAAAAACACCAGTTTGAGCCTTTTTTTTTTTTTTAAACAGACTCAAACTTGGACATTTCTTCAGCTCTTTTTGGAGTTTATTTCAGACCTTCACAACACCGACTGAAATGCACATCCTCTTCATGGTGGTTCGAACCCTCACGGTTCTAAGGTTTTCCCTGTGGTCATAGCCTCCCACTCTATCAGAAAACTAAGAAATCAAAAAATCTACTAAGGCTACTAAAACTCTCAACTTACACACAAGGACACAATTGTTGTTTCCGTTCATTTGTTTAAAGAAATCCCCACAATAGTCACATAAATAACTTACCGTATTTTCACGACCATAAGGCGCACCGGACTAAAAGGCGCAGTCTCAGTTATGTGTGCCATTTCTGTATTTAACACACACATAAGGCGCACCGGACTATAGGGCGCGTTTTTTATATACAGGTACATGTCCTCTCAGGTGGATTTTCCCACTTAAAAACATATTAAAACTACTTTATTCCCACTGATCACAGCAAATAAAGCTGCAAGGTGTATTTATTACAAAGTATTATTCAAACCTGGGAACCGGCATGCTGATGACACAGGGCTGTGATTACTCCTCTGATACAGTTTATTGAGGCATAAATTAACTTAAAACATAGGCAGGATAATAATCTGGATGAACTGACTGCAATGATTAAATTTTCAGGTGGACTTTCTCACTTAAAAAGATTTAGATTATTTAGATGAAAAAACACCTGCGGAGGTGAGCCCGTATGCCCCGCGGCCCATAGACTGCTGTTGAATTAAGTTTTCAGGTAGAAAAATAGAGCGGGAGCAAAACTGAGTATGATTGTGCTTTATTAATGTATTTATTACAGAGTATTAATCAAACCCATCAAAGTCCTCATCCTCTGTTTCTGAATTAAACAGCTGCGCTAAATCCGACATGCCAGTTTCCCCTTCTTCTTCGTTTATTGACGCATAAATTAACTTAAAACATAGGCAGGATAATAATCTGGATGAACTGACTGCAATGATTAAATTTTCAGGTGGGCTTTATCACTTAAAAAGATTTAGATTATTTAGATGAAAAAACACCTGCGGAGGTGAGTCCGGATGCGCCGCGGCCCAGAGGCTGCTGTTGAATTAAGTTTTCAGGTAGAAAAATACAGCGGGAGCAAAACTGAGTATGATTGTGCTTTATTCAAGTATTTATTACAGAGTATTAATCAAACCCCTCAAAGTCCTCATCCTCTGTTTCTGAATTAAACAGCTGCGCTAAATCCGACATGCCAGTTTCCCCTTCTGCGCTGTCAGTCACTTTCCGTGCAGCGCAGCTCCTCAGAAATAATGCCGGCTTTTGCAAAAGCTTGAACAACAGAGCCAGCAGATACGTTAGTCCAAGCATCTACAATCCATCCGCAAACGGTGGCGTAACTTGCCCGGCGCTGCCTCCCACTTTTCCTGAAACTGTGGTCTCAGTCTGTCATCCATCGCTCCCACGCCGCTCGCAGCCTTACTTTGAACGGCCGCGTCACACCGATGTCGAGCGGTGGAAGCTCCTTTGTCAGACCCCCGGGATAACGGCGAGCACAGCGTTCATTTGATTCACCTTTTTTTTTCACATCGGCTGTGAGATGGGCACGCAGCAATGGTGATGCGTGGAAAAAAACACCTAGTCTTCTCAGATACACCTGCCTCAGCCACGCATCCATACGGAGCCACCCAGCCTTATACGCGCGTCAACCATTGACTTTGCATGTAAACTCGCTGCTTCTGCTGCACTTGCTGGGTCCGGTTCACACCGATGTCGAGCGGTTGAACAGCGAGCACAGGGTTAATTTGTTTCCCCATGTTTTTCACATCAGCTGTGAGATGGGCACGCATGGAGTTACATATTAACACGATTGTGAGGGGTGGAAAAAAAAAACACCTGGTCTCCTTACATTCAGCCACTCTTTCATCATCTCCTCAATGAGGTGGTCTCAAAAGTCGCAGTTACAACACACATAGGGCGCACCGCACCATAGGGCGCACCGCACATTTTGAGGGAAAAAAAAGACGTTTAAGTGCGCCTTATAGTCGTGAAAATACGGTACATCTAGAAAAAATAATGAATCAAAATTCAATGAAAATCGACAAAGGAAAGAAAGACATTGCTTTTTAACTATGCTTCAATTGAAAGGTTTAAAACATAAACTAATGAAACAGGTCTACACATATCTTTCTAGAATCCCCTGATAGTCTTGAGATTTCATGAAACGCTGCACATATTCAGACACCTTGTGCCAGATGAAGCTAAGCAGCCCCAGAACATAACAGTGCCTCCTCCATGTTTCACAGTAGAAACATTGTTCTTTTTTTATATCCTTAATTTTTCCATCTGTGAACATAGAGCTGATGTGCCGTGGCAGAACCTTCAACATTTCTTATTTCTATTTCTAATCTCCTGTGACAACTCTTTCCGTCCCTTCCTCTGGTCCATGTTGAGTGTGGTACACATCATGTCACCAAACTTAAATTTAGATAGACTTTATTGTCATTTTGTACACACAGAGTGTATACAAAAATAAATTTTGTTAAGTGAAGCTCTCAAGACATTTCCATTTTTAAAGTGCAGCAGTGATAAAAAAAAAAGGTAGGCTTAAAACTTTCCGTTTTGATAAAGCTTATAGTTAGAGTGGCTCAGGTTATCCTGAGCGTCTCTATAGTTACGCTGCTATAGGCTTAGACTGCTGGGGGACATAGGGACCCCTATGTGGGAATAGGAATATATAAACCGGAGTTTAAAATATATATTTCTAAAAGAATATC